GACCGCCCCCCCCGGCCCCCGCTCAGCTGCCCTCTCGCCTGCCCAGGCTGAACCCCTCGCACAGCAGGAAGGCACTGAGGAACTCCCGCCTCGTCAGCCAGAAGGACGACGTCCATGTCTGCATCATGTGTCTCCGCGCCATCATGAACTACCAGGTGGGAGAGGGCAGCGTCCTCGGGGACCCACGTGGAGCTCCCCAAAAGCCTGCGGGGCTGTCTTCAGGGTCTGGGTTTGGGTGGGGTGGGACCCGTTCTCCATCCCCTTGCTCAGATGTCCTGAATCAACCTCATGTCTGGTGGGGACGTGGCACGGGGATGTCCCAAGGTCCTGGAGCATCCCTCGGGTGGGGACAGGAGGGTGCATGACCCCGTTAATGCTCCTTTTCCCCCCAAGTCTGGCTTCAGCCTGGTAATGAACCACCCAGCCTGCGTCAATGAGATCACCCTGAGCCTCAACAACAAGAACGCCAGGTAGGACCCGTCCCCCGTCCTCCTGTCCCTCCGTCCCCTTGCCTGCCCCATGGCCCTGACCCCCTCGCGCCCCGTGTCTCCGCAGGACCAAGGCGCTGGTGCTGGAGCTGCTGGCCGCCGTCTGCCTGGTCCGAGGTGGCCACGACATCATCCTGGCTGCCTTCGACAACTTCAAGGAGGTGGTGAGTCCCCAGCAGGGACGCGTGGTCCCCACACTGACACCCGTGCTCCGGCTGGGTTCATGCCTCAGTTTCCCTATGTGTGGCAGAGTCCTGCATCATTAGGGCATCCTCCATCCTAAAAACGCCCATCCCGTGACTTGCTTGGGGATGCTCCGGCCATTGGGCTTGATGTCCCCATGCCAGCACCCGTCCCCATGGCCACGTCCCAACTGCACCAGGCGCTAGGCAGCACCCGGCAGGGCTGGGACAGTGTCACCAGTGGGTGCCTCCTGCCCCCCTACCCCCCTGGGTGCCCACCCTGGCCGCGTCCCTCCTGGCCCTCAGGCCCCTGCTCCCACCCCAGGTCTGCGGAGAGAAGAACCGCTTTGAGAAGCTGATGGAGTATTTCCGAAACGAGGACACCAACATCGACTTCATGGTGAGTGGCTGGCAGGGCTGGTGCTCTGCTGTCCCCAGGGC